TATATATATATATATATATATAATGTGTTCAGTGCAGAGATACTCGAATGATTTTTAATAAAATATAAATTATAAATTTATCTGATTAACGTAATTGATATAAAATATAAGCTATAAAATATAATATTTAATAAAGTATATTAATAGAAAGTTGTAGATTGGTAGTTCTAGATTGATTTATAAAAAAAAATACACAGCTTAAAATGTGACAATTGAATCGCGTATGTCGTAATTCGAGTAACGTATCGTACATAAACATTGATTGTCCAACAAAGAAATTCCTAGAGTTGTGATTCTGCAAAGAATCAGAGAGGATACCTAAACCTAACCTAACCTAATCTAACCTAATACTTTTCATAGACAAAGGATAAGGGATGCAAACAAGTGACGTGAATTTCATCGTGGTTTTTACACCCTACTTAAGCATTTTCATCTATTTCATTTGTTTTAGAATTCTGTTTGGGTTAGGTTAGGTTTAAATTAGGGACCACGTGATTCGCGAAGATCGACACTCACCCGATACTTGGTAAGGAACATTTGTCCCAAAATTGCAATATTTTCTCAGTTTTAAATATATTCAAATATAACCTAGACAAAACAAATAATAAATTTATTACTTAGTAATAATTTCTATCCAGTGATACCATACCCACGAGTTCAAGAAGAAAGCGACGAATTATTGTATATATACTTTGGTCACTCGTTATGGTCCGCGGAATCAGTTGCCAGCGCAAGGGGTTAATCTCTTGCGCTGGAATAACGTGCCACGCACGTCGAGAATTTTTGCCCCAAAATTACCTCAATTTCAAATATATTTAAACATAACAAATAATAAATTCCTTACTTCTTCTTTGTTAGTAATAATTTCTATCCAGTGATACCATACCGACGAGTTCAAAAAGAAAGCGACGAATTATTGTATATATACTTTGGTCACTCGTTATGGTCCGCGGAATCAGTTGCCAGCGCAAGGGGTTAACCTCTTGCGCTGGAATAACGTGCCACGCACGTCGAA